ATGCCATCACCATCAGAGTCTCCAGCTTTCAGGAAGGCCTTTGTCTCTGCATCAGTGAGTGCCCTGGCGCCAGCAGAGAAGTTCTGCAGGAACAGTCTGAAGAGCACAACAGGCAATTAAGCGTTTTGTTCAAGGTAGTTTATTTTTTTAAAAAGTCTTAAAAACAGTTTATTGAATATGAAAATGTGTTTTAAGATCAGACTTACTTAAGCTCATCCTCCTCAATGAAGCCGCTCTTGTCCTGGTCAATGACAGCAAAGGCCTTCTTGATGTCATCAGGAGTCTTGGCAGACAGACCAACCTTGGCGAAGAAGCTCTTGTATTCGAAAGAGTCAGCAGCTGGAAGGTAATTTCATCAAGATTTTAGCGTGATAGTGGAGATAAATGACTCCAAGAAGAACTTAAGGGTCTTGAAAAACATGGTTGCTTATCCACAGTTTCAAGCTCCATACTCTAACGAATGATGTTTACACTGAGGTTGACACCCTAAAATGAACATTCTGTCATTATTTACTCACTCTCATGTTGTTCTAAATCCACATGACTTTCTTTTCTCCGTGGAGCACAGAAGGAGATGTTAGGCAGAATGACAGTCTCAGTCACCATTCACTTTCATTGCATCTTAGTCCATACATGAAAGTGAATAGTGACTGAGGCTGTCAGTCCCTATAGCATTCTGCCTTTTGTGTTCCACGGAAAGAAGAAAGTCATGCGGGTTTGGAACGACATGAAATTGATGTTCTCGCTTTAGCTTGTAGGTCAATGGGACGGTCCAGAAACATGCAGGTTACCTTGGCAGGCCTGCAGGGCTGCAGTGATGTCAGCATCATTCAGAATACCAGCGAATGCCATTATTAGCCTACAAATGACAGAGGTTTTATTTTACTTGGATTTATATATATTCATTTGAATGTATATACAATTATACATTTTAATTTTTTAATTAAAAAAAACAACTCTCATAATACTCCATCCATATAACAGATCATCAGAAATTATGTGCTCCCATATGTTTGGTAAAAGGCACATATTAATTGCATATGTCTTTAACAACACAGTGTGCTATGATAAATCCCACCCAGTCCTGGCGTAATCAAACCGCTTAATAAAGAGCGATATCCCAACACGTCCAAACTCCAAGACACAAATTATTCCCACGCCAGGTGATCAACACATCCTCTCCGGATCAACCCGAAGTCATACGGCCATTGTTGTTTGTCGTTTTTCTTTCTTCCTTGCAAGATATTGTGAGCTCTTGTAGTTTCATCTGTGAAGACACTCACCTCTGGTTGTCCTTAGGGTTTGGGGTTGGATTCGCAGGGATGAAACTGGCTACTGCAGTGAGCACCAACTCCGTGGCTTCCACCTTATATACCACTACTCAACCGAAATATAAGGCATAATGTAATGGACACCGCACGACGGGCAGTTGGTTGAAAAACTTGTCCAGTAGTCAGGCTGTTCTATTTTTATGCACTTAAATGAAGATGCTTAAAAGGTACGTATGTAGAAGTCCTTAATATCGAGTCGGCTAATAATAGCCTATACGATGCTGATATGGATGAAAGCGCTAGTATATGGCGTTATTTTAATGACTGAAGATGAGCGGGAAGAGTTAAGGTCATGCCTGAGAGAAACTGTGTATAATATAAGGTAAATGCAAACTCACAGGACATCGTAGCGCTTGTAACGTGTTTATTTGACATGAAGATATAGGCTAGTCAAAGATTTCGGCTGTTGGTGCTTGTTTCTTTAACGTCCACCGTATGATTTTAAATATATTTATAAAATCGACAGCTATTGTGTGTATTAGACCAATGATAAAATGTTTCTGACTAGAATTTGGACCTTGTTTACAGAGAAACTTTGTATAGATGATTGTGTTTAATGAAACGTCGCTAAGCCTTGGACTTGACTTTCATTTATCAAAACAGTCTTAATTTCTCTGCATTTCTTTTCTAGCTTGCTCCCTAATCATATTATCTAATAAATCTGGTATGTCTATAAACCTGGTGTATTACACCTATTGTTGGCTCTTTGATGTACTGCTTTTCTTCCTCTTCTGTAAGTCACTTTTGGAGCTTCCCAGTCAACACGTGAGATCATGCGATGATCACAGTGACATCACACAATCCTCATACTGTGATCCTCACTGTGTGAGTAGTATATGAAATCATTGTGAGTTCACACGATCCTCATACTGTGATCCTCACGGTGTGAGTAGTATATGAAAACATTGTGAGTTCAAACGATCCTCATACTGTACATTGAACGTGCGTTCTTTGAAAGGAGGAGTTTGCAGGGCATTCAAAAATAAATATAAAAAAGATGATAGGTAAGCAGAGCTCTGGTTCCAAAGACAAGGGTCCATGAATGCTTAGGCTTTTACAAGCAAAGCAAACTCTGTGGAAAGACATTGATAAAGAAAAACAATTAGTCTTGCACTTTTCATTTTAACAATTCATTCAGTTCAAGCAGCTCAAAGTTTAGAGGTACCTTGTATCTCGACATCATTTAATCATTTATAGGCTACCACATATGACATTCTTACAAAACTAAACAGTATGTAAAAATATGTTTTTCATGAAGATTTACTGCACTTTTATTAGGTCTATTGCTTCTGCTAGTTGGTTTGCTGACCTGCTTTAAATATAAATATAAACGTAGCTGCTAAATCAAGAGCTATAAAAGATGATAAATCAATCAATGTTAAGACTTATTAAGCAAACATTAAAAATGTTCTGTAACTAAGAGATTTTAAGTTTGATTGCATCACCAGAATTCATAGTTTAACCATGTTTTATCTTGTTATGCTTTGTATCCTCAGTGCTATAAATTCCTAAATATTATGAATATGAGTTTAAGTACCATCAACTCCGATTTTGCCGTCACCATCACTGTCACCAGCTGAGAGGAAGGCCTTGGTCTCAGCATCAGTCAGTGCCCTGGCACCAGCGGAGAAGGTCTGCAGGAACAGTCTGGGAACATTGAGGAGAATGGAAAAGAGCATTAAGAAAACTGCCTGTATAATATAATATAATAAATGCATTCAGTAATTTTAAGTCTGTTGCTTTCATACTTCAGCTCATCCTCCTCAATGAAGCCACTCTTGTCCTGGTCAATGACAAAGAAGGCCTTCTTGATGTCATCGGGAGTCTTTGCACTCAGGCCAACCTTGGCGAAAAAGTTCTTGTAGTTGAAGGAGTCAGCAGCTAGAATCACATAAAACAGAATCCATATTAAAAATCAGCTAATTAAACAATAGTCTATTGGCGAGTTATAGCAGATGTGTCTTACCAGCACAATCCTTAAGGGCTGCAGCCACATCCTCGTCCTTGAGAATTCCAGCAAATGCCATTTTGATTTATCTGGAAATTAGACGCAAACAAGATGATGGCGCGTTAAGATGCATAAAGGTTTCTGACTAAATTATTGTAACATCACATTAACTGCAACATTTAGTGTCATTTCGAATAATTCTCAAACAATTCTCCCATTTGGGTTAAACTTCTTCCTACAGTTAAAATATGATTTCTGTGAGCTCATGTGAGATTGCCAAATGAAAAACACCAAAAAAGTCATGAAAAAAATTGACAATCATTGCAAGCTCATCCAAAAACTCAAGAAAGTAAGTAGAAAGCATGGTCCTTGGTTTGGTTAATTGAAGAGATGTACTTTCGCATTTTCAGTCCTGCTGCAAGTCCATTCACATCCTTATTTTATTCCTCCATTTCTCGTTAATTATATTCCATGGTGATTAGAGAAATTCATCGACCCCTGGTATATGATCCTCAAGGTGTCTCTGGTAAACTCACCTTTGCACTGCGCTGGCAACTGTTCCACAGATGTGCGACGACTACTCAAGCACCCATGGGCCTGGCTTTTATTCTTTAGTCTCTGGGGTTGTAACGGACACCATTTGCTTAGGTTGGGTTAAGTTTCAAACAAAAATGTGTCCACTAGTCATATAGCTCTATTTTTATCCTTTCGAAAAGGGGATGCTCTGAGTCCTTATGGGAAACATAGGTGGGACATCCTAGTGCACACACTGCATGTTGTTGCACGAAGTGTTTGCATGAAAATGTGTGCAATGCATTTATATGTAAAGTAATTCTTTGTACCATAATTCTTATATTTTGCCCATTCAGCCTTGTACTATGATCATTTGAAATCATTTTTTGGGGTCAAACAGGAATCCCTGCTGGATAAACTGAAATTCCTATTTTGCAGTCTATTCATTATTTTATTTATGAAGTTTAGTACAGTAAATCCAGTAGGATCTCATTAGGATTCTTTATTATTCATTGCAAATTATTATTTAATTCAATTTAAGATATTTTTCAACAGGGAAATGTGTAAGAATATTGTTTTATGTTTTTTTTTTCTTGGGGTGGAAGGGGAGGGGGGGGGTCAACCCACTTACAGTCTCTGTACCATGTATATTCTATGCATGCAGTAAGACGATGCTAAGCAGATTCTGGGACAGCTGGAGATTTGAGCAGGAGCAAACGTTTCAGAGTTTCAGATTACTGGCAAATATGATAAAACACTTTTTATCTCTAAAAGAGGCTATTTCACTCAATACCTTAATTAATAGTCCTATGTGTATTCAACATTGTGATGACCAATGCACAAAATGTCAAAAAGTATGCAAAACAATACAAACTTTTACAAATATTGCAGTACTTTACACATCATTGTAGTTTTAATGTGTTAGCTTGTTTACCCAGCAGCTGCAAAACAGATTTTGTTTGAATTATAAAACTCACTAAATAAATAAATTGCAAGACATACACAATATAGATGCAAAAAAATATTGTTGAAAACTTTTTATTTTGTGTTCCTTTCTCTTGTAGAATTTCTAAGTTCATACAATAACATTACAGTAAAACATAGAAGACAGAGCAACAGTAAAACATAGAAGACAGAGCACAATCCTGGACAATTCAGCTTTGAAAACTACTGAGTGACAAGACCAGTGGCAAAGTGCATAATTTTTCTTTGCCATGTTTGACAGTCACAGCTGGTCTCAGGAAGCATTAACGAGGGCTGAAAATTCTACAGGAAATGAGGAGATGTAGATTAATCTCTTATTTATAAAATATCTGCGTATTTTAGATACCAACCTTCCCAGCCGATCTTCCCATCCCCATCCATGTCTCCAGCCACGAGGAAGGCCTTGGTTTCAGCTGCTGTTAGTGCACGAGCCCCTTTAGAGAAGTTCTGCAGAAACAACCTAGAAAATGCGTCACAATATAATAAGTGAACATGTAGAGATTATTTGGTTGAAACATTTTGTGCAATCATGGAATAAACAGGTCACATTTATTTATTACAGTGAACATCAGCGGTGTGATGCTTCCTCATTTTTTATTTTTCCTAATTTTTTCTATGGCAATTCTGTATATCAGTGTGGTTATCAGGTAACTACAACTGGCACTACTTTTATGTCTCTTGTATTATACAGCGAACTCACTCTCGTTTTTTTTTTTTTTGTTTGTTTTTTTTTTACAAACACAACTGCTGCAGTTTTGTGTATCAATTATCAACTGCATTGAAAATGAAGTCAGAGAACTAGTAACATTATTGTAATATTTTCCGTCTTGTTACTGTCTTATGTATTGTGCATTGTAATGCATTTTCTTTTTCTTAGTAAAATGCTTTAAGATAAGAGAACAGTAAACTCAAATCAATGTTTCATGCCCATGTAAAAAATGTATTGACCATGTAATAAGCTGAATGACTACACAATCCCTAACATATCACACAGGATTGTGCAACTCAGTTTTTCAGTCACTCTAGCTGCCTCATAAACATACATGAGAAAAAAAGTATTTAGGCAAATTACTCAACTGTAGCTCATCCTGTTCAATGAACCCACTCTTGTCCTGGTCCAACATTTTAAAGACCTTCTCTATCTCAGGAGGAGACTTCTTTGACAAGCCTACTGTTGCAAAAAATGTCTTTGGGCTGAAAGAATCCTTTGCTGCAAGAATCAAATTAAAAAGAAAAAAATCACAATGGATATTCTGACAAAATAAAAAAGAATACAATTTTTCTGACTAAAAAACAAACAACTCTCATAGTAATATTCACAGAGGTGAATCTGAAGTGGAGTATCATTCATGCTTTACCTTTACATGCATTGATGGCAGTTGAAATATCAGAGGCAGCCAAAACGTCTGTGATAGCCATTTCTCAATGGATCTGAGGAAAATCCGAGGCCTCTATTGCAGCAGTATCTTCGCTGAGGTTAACAGCAAAACCTGCAGTCTGACCATCACTACATGAAGTCAAAAACCACCAGTGTTTGTATGTCAGCTGCAGCTGTGTCCTTTACACCACCTGACCTGTCCAGGAAAACAGAAGTGCTACTCGAGTGAAGCACCTCACAATCTACTGGAGATTGTGGACAAACAAACACAAATCTTACGATTCATAATAAATGTGATGTGTTGCTAAATATCAGCAGGTTATATTTGGTTCAGCCATTATGTTTCATTCACTTAAAGTGAAAAACTTTGTAAACATCCTGTTATTGCTTCACTGTCATTATTGGACGTGTGCCTACAAAATATGATTTAAAAGCAGTATAGCCGCCGTGAAATTTTGCTCAGTAAAGTATGTTTATTTTCCTCACAGATCAAAGGCAGAAGGCCTGATCACAGTATTGAAGCACAATAAGGTGAAGTCCACCTGTTTTTGTGTTTACGTGACTCTACCGATAGCTTTGTCTTTGCGCACGTGCTGATCTACAGCAGGCGGACTGTGCGCGGCTGTGACGTCAGCTTCACTTCCTCCGCAGGCTCTTTTCCTGAGGATGGACGTCTGCCTGCCAAACCAGGGGCCAAAGCAATGACAAAAACATCCTTCCAGCCCACTAGCTGCCCCTGTGGCCTTGTCCCACTCCATACTACCTCTTGTTTGCAGGAAGGCCATGTTTCCTGAGTGACAGGGATTTGAGGGGGATCGGGGCTGGACTTTTCATATTCTCTATAACACTGTTTGCTTTGTCTTTGTTTATATGTTGCATCAGGTGCATTGAAGAGCGCCTGGAGTCTTATGATATTAGAAATGCTTTTTAAATGGACAGAGAAGAGATTTGACCTGGTGAGTTAATGTGATTTAGAATATACCATTATTTGGTATATTTTAACAAATAGTAGAACATATTAAATATCTTGCTTTTCTTTGAGTCTTGTTTTAAGAAGAGCATTAATGACTATGTAAATGTGTATTTCATGACAAGGGCAATGTTTTTGCTGCTTTTGGACCAAAATAGTGTTTAAACCATAACGTAATGGTGCTTGTTTATTGCTGGTGAGTGTTTATTCCCTCTTTTATTTAATGTATGGCAGCTCTTTTTAATAACTGAACATGTTGGGCTCAGAGAAAATGTGCAAAATTTGACCTTTATGGGTACAACAGCACTTTGTATACCTTACATACCCTTAAACGGTGCATTTTATAGGCACCTTAGTAATTTGTACCATTAAGCAGGTGTTGTACCTAAAAGTAAAGGTTTTGCACTTTTTTTTGTAGGAGTGTATAGTTGATGCTTTTGGGAAATACTTCTGGAAAAATGATATGTCCTGCAATGTGATTTAAAACATTATTTTCTTTTATAATTATTTTCATATGCATTTTGTCACACAGATGTATTTGTCATATCAAAGGACCATTTATAAATAATGAAGATCCTTTATGGTTCCATTATACCCTAACGGGTGACTTTCAAAATGAAAATGAGATATTATATATTTAAAATTAGATATTTAGAAAAGAAGTTTATTTATTTATTTAGTTAGCTAGTTTAATTCACTGCAAGTCAATGGGGTCAAATGTTTTGGTCCCCATTCACTTTCATTGTATGCACAAAAACAGTTGAAACATTGTTCAAAATATCCTCTCTTTTATTTAATAAGTCCTACTGGTTTGGAAATGCTAAGGTGGTAAATGGTGAATTGGTAAATGATGACAGAATTGTTATTTTTGTGACATATCCTTTCTAATTTTTATATATCCTTTCCATTTTATGCATCAATTACCAATGTATTTGTTTTATTCCCATAGTTATTTTCATTAATACTTGTTAAATTTGTCAGGGGGTAGATAAAAGAGATGATTAATAAGCTGATAAGTGAGCAATGTGTTGCAATTACTGTATTTAAATCATTACATGTCTGGGACACGCCCTGTTTTATTTTGAGACGCTTTTTTCCACGCCAAGGTTCTCAGTAACAGACTGATTTCTCACTAAGCCTCTCTTGATAGATTTACAACTTGTTTGATGCATCATCAGTTGCTCTTGATCCACCAACTCCATTGTCATCAGAGCATTAGACATATACAAAGAGTGACTCTGCGAATGGGAATACCTTTCAAAAGCTGTCCCTAATTAAAGCTGATTGTGTCTTTCATAAGCGAGGACACAGATTGCGCTGTTCCCCGTCTCTCGGGTTTAGTTGCATCTCTATCTATTTCCAGCTGACCAGCTGTGATGGAAGCATGCCGATGGGACTCTCAGATTTAGCCAAGACGGCCGCCTCAGTTTCAGTTCCCGGCCCTCCTCTTCCCTAGCATCAATCACTCAACACCAAGTGTGTGCGTGTGTGTGTGTGTGTGTGTGTGTGTGTGTGTGTGTGTAGGTTGGAATGTTTGTGTGCTCATAT